CCTAATCCAAGCTGCTCTTACTAGAAAGTTGAATTAGAATGTTTGCCTCGAGGATCTTAAGCTTCAGGATTTCAGGTCCCAAGCTGTTGATTTCTTAACGCACCGCTTATTCGAGGAGGCCAGGCAATTATTTTTGCAAGGGGCAGTTGCTTGGGTCCTCAATAATACGAATGTTTGGGAGGGGGCTCGATTATCCGAAATTTTCGGGCCGCTAAGGATTCCAGAAAGCAAAAAAAACATCCCTAAGGGTCCAAGGACCCAGATAATAGGAGTTTAGGCCCCAAATACCATTGATATTGTAGTATTTGGGCCCTTAAACCCCATTGTTTGGGTTCTTGGACTCTTAGGGTTTCATGAACCTTGAACTTAAATTAGAACAGCTACTGAGCTCCGCAACGCTCCTCCCATTGAATTTACTTTAAACCAGATTCCGAGCTCCGGACACCTTCCTCCTATTGAATTGAATTTGAAACAGCATCTGAGCTCCGGAAACCCTCCCCCTCTCCTCCTCTTGACTCTAATTCAGAACTCGTCTGAGCTCCGGAAACTCGCCGCCTCTTGAATTACATGTAAAGCAAGGATCCATTGTTTTTTTTGGGGGGGTTCGGGTTTGGGGTTTAGGGTCGGGGGAGCCGACCTCAATTATATTAATGAACGACCTTTTTGGTTGCGGGGGATCCCCTGCACTAATCAGGACCTTACATTAAGACGGTGGGGAATACACCATCCCACAATGCTAACCACCAGTAAGCATCGTTGTCAACCGCACGCCTGTCTGCTCCAGCCAACAGCAAGAGGCGGGCAACATTCCTAGGGGTGGGAGTCAAGGGATTGGGGTTTAGGGATTAGGGTTTAGGTTTAACCTAAGCCCCAAAAGTATGTAAAATAATAGCCCTAAACCCAAAACAATAGCCATAAAGGCCATTATTTTACATACTTTTGGGGTCCAGGTAAGGGTTTAAGGGTTTCGGGATTAGGGTTTGAAGCACTGTGTTGGGATCTCCCTTTGAAATTGATTCTTAATTCTTGAGGAAAAAACAGGATCCTTTGCGTGGTAACAAAAGGACAAGCCATACCCCTAAGAAGTATGAATTGGGTACTGCCCCCACCCAGTATCGGTCTATATTAGGGATCCTATTAAGGGCTATATATAACCATATTCTACTTATTATCCAACTGTTACTGAGGGGGGAGCAGCACCCAAAGTATAAAGGACCAGTAGCATGGACCCAGCAAAGCTCAGACCGCCAAAACTATAAACCCTAAACCCCTAAACACCTAGCCCCTAAACCCCTAACCCCCAAACTCTAAACCCCTAAACCATGAACTCTAAAACTCTCATAAAACTGGGCATTGCTTCGCATGGCCACACTGAGATGCCACAAGAAGGGGCGTTGCTCCATTGTCGTCGCGCGCCTCTTTGCTTATTTGCTTCTTAGAAGGGAATATCTGAACCCCAAACGTATGTAGAAATGGTTTTAGGCTATCATTTTATCTACTTTTGGGGCCCAGGTAGGGGAAAATACAATACCTTTATAACCCCTATATAACATATAGTCCCTTCTTCCCTACTACGAACCATTGAGTTTCTAGCTTTTAGTTAACTAGCAGGAAATATACCAGTTTTGATGTAGGGACTGTAGTACGGTCTAGGGACTACTACAGAGATCCGTTCATCCACTCCCTACAGTACTACCCCAGTCAGCCTCTTTATTGGCGCCGGCATGGAGCAGCAGCTGAACGACCTGCGCCTGGCCGCAGAAAGCCGCAGACATCAGCGGCGTCCGAGAGCAAAAGTCTCTGCTGTCCATCTCAGCACTAGCTTCAAGCAGAAGGCGTACCATGTCAACACATCCAGCTGCAGATGCCGTCCCAAGTGGTGTGCACCAAGCATTGTATACCTCAGAGTACTCTTCCCGAAAGCCGCAAACAGTGCTGGAATAAGAAGATAGAGAGACCCAACTATAGTTCCGACTATTCTGGTAGTGACTAGCTTAGTAGTGGTGGAAATCCTGTCGGCACGATACTGACACCTGAGGCTCCGTACTCAAAACGATGAAAAACTATTCAAAATGGAAGCTTCTACTCAAGATGCATATTATACATGGTAAACCCTGAACCCCACGTGATTGCACGCAAGCCTAAACCCTAGACTGTACAAGACCCTAAACCATCAGCAATATTACCCCAAACCCCATATACCGGGGTGGTACTTGAAAGGCCCCCAAATCATTCATGAAAAGGGTCCCCCAAACCACAAAAGGTGGAAGTTACAAATTATCCCAATGCGCCACCTCCTATACCCCCCCCCCCCCAAAAAAAAATCTTCCCCAGGGTGCCGTCTGCAGGTTGACGTCCGCCTTGGCCTCCAGAAGCAAGCTGGCAACCTCCGCCCGGTTGTGTCGCGCTGCGACATGAAGAGGTGCAGCACCCCGCCAGGGATCCAACAGATTGGGATCCTGGGTTGGTTTAGGGTTTAGGGTTAAGGGTTCAGGGTTTAGTTTAGGGTTTACGGTTGAGGGTTCAGGGTTTAGCATGATCTTGCTAATAAGATTTGGGTCCCTATATGACCCTATGGTTTCACTATTACAGGGTGGGGGGCGTAACCCAGGGCACAGGCTTAGGGTTTAGGCATTGGTTATAATGACTGGGTAAGGATTACGTTTCAGGGGTTTATGGTGTTAGAGGCTAGACCGGGTTTAGAAGCTGACTTCGGGATCACTGCCTGCTTAGGGTTTGTACCCAACGATGACAACTAAGAAAAATGTTTCAAGCAAGACTGGGGATCCTGTGGCTGATTCAAGATCCTCTCCACTTCCAAGATATCTCCCTGGTAGATGGCCTCACTAAGTGCAGCTTTTTCTGCGTGCGACGCGCTGGCAAATTGCAAGAGTACCAGCTGAAGGTCTGCGGGTGAATCGAGAGGAGCCTCATCATCCAAGCTTACGCCACTTCGCAGGATGCGCTGCCGGAACCGAGGCAGCCCACATGGCCCCTCTAGCTCTTGCTTCAGCTCCCGGACGCTGCGCACCTGTCCAACCGGCATGGCGGTCACCTCATCCCCAGATGCTTTCCAGACGTGGAGCATGCAGAGTGCAGCAGAAGAACAGGGGAATGCCTAGGTAAATTCCTTGCAACAAAGCTGCGGAAAATGTAAATTTGCAAGAACAAGTAACTCCCTCCCAGGATAAAATCCCAACTGATTTCATGCTGGTATTACATTGGGGGTTGCTAGTAGGGAGGGGAGGTTCAATATGAGCTGGAGGGGGCTGGCAAGGTCCAGACCACTCTGGGACAAGTCCAGCGTACGGAATGATGTGCCGGGGTTTAGCGTTAAGGGTGGCCTGCGTCAGCAATATAGACTTTCAGAGGCTCTAAACCCATTAATGTGTTGAGGGTTCCGCGCTAGAGGATATTGACTGAGCATTCTTGTCATCTATCCTTGTAATGCAATGAAGAAGTCTGAACGTAACACCAGGACAACAGCATGTATGAGACGAAGCTATGGTCACCCTGGTTGCCCGCTGCACCTGGCACCTGCTATATGCTTGGGTTTATAAGAGTTTAGGGTTTAGGGTTATGCTTTAGGGTTCTGGGTTTAGACCCTAAGTATGGAAACAGTAAGCACAGCGCGCTGTAGATCACACACACCAGGATCACACACACCAGTTACACCCCAAACCCTCAGCCCTAAACCCTAAACCCTCAGCCATACTCTTGCGGGACGCCTCGGTGTTTTCGAGCTTGGCGAGGACAGTGCTATCCTGCCAGAACCCTAAGACCCCCAAAACCCTAATGTAGACCCATGATTTATAAACCACCTCCTCTTAAGAGCCTTAATGTTAGGATCCCTATTCTAATTCCTGTTAAGGGGAGGGAGTTTATTCATCAGCGGTCTGGGTTAAACGGTAAAATGGAGACTCTTTTTAAAACTGTTATAGGAAGGTAAGGACCCTAAAAAGGGTCCCTATTTTTTTAATCGGCTGGGGGGGTTGCCGCGCAGGAAAGGGAAACTTTATACTGACTTTCTGCACTCACACCCCGTGTGTGTTTTGTATGAAGAATGTCGAGGCAAGGGTTAGCGTTATATGAGCTATAATCTAAAGTCCAAATATCCCCCTCAATAAGCCCTGTATTATACTCCCCTGGACCCCAATAAAAAGCTTAGACCATAGCTCATATGTATAGATGATCCGGGCTCGGCCGGTCACTGTGACCCCCAACGGTTGCCCGGCCCTTCCTGCGGTGCAGCTGGTGCGTTTCGGCTAGGAATAACAGGAAGATGCGAATTCACCCATCCTCTTCCCCCCTGGTGTGGTTGGGGGTTTGGGGTTAGGAACTTCCCCCGCATGGCATGATGTCTATCTTCTGGGCGCCATTTTAGGATTAAGTTTTACCCGCCCTCCACCCCCCTGTGGTCTTGTGGTCTAGGCCACGCGCTGATTCGGGAACTAAAAGCCATCATTCGGAAGCGCGGATTCTAGTTTCTGAATCAGGGTTTGTTCCTATACTCTGGGTCTTGTGGTTTAAAAGGTTTATAGAGAGTTTATAATGCATGTAGAGGGTTCATAACCTACTAACCCACCCCCCCTTGTGGTCCTGCGGCCTGTGGCCTGGGTCTTCTGGAATACATTAAGTATTGAGGGTTCATAAAAATCTGATAATGTGTATTATAGTAGGCATATAAGATGAGGACCACCGCGATCCGTGTGAAAGCGAATACCTAGCCAACAACACCAGGAGATGTTAAAAAGCGACGACAGTTGCGAGGGTCACAACCAGGACAACCCGATCCCTGCTGGTACTTGTGAGATGCGACGAAAGCATCAGGGGCTACCCAAGGGCTTCAATGTAGTTCCTTTTTGGGTTTGTTATGTTTTTTGGTAAGGGGCTAAATAATATACTACTTAGAAAGGAACTACATAGGAGGCTCTGGGTAAAGTGGCAAGTGTTACAGGGATTGCGGGCTGCGAGGAGCCGAAACCGACGACAGCTACGAGGACAGCGACCCCAAGGGGCCCAATACCTGTGACTGTTGACACTTCTGAAGCATACCCGTGGGGGTTTGGGGGAAATACTATGGGGGAGCCTGGCGAATCGAGAGACGAGATCATAAGGAGCCCAAACACGAATACCTGTAGAGGGAAATACATGCTGTAGAGTCTTGGGCTTGAACATATAGTCCAAAATGACCAAAGTTCAGCCGGCAATGGAGAATCAACTGCAAAGGAGAGCGTACCATTCATGGAGACTGCGATTACATGGCCATAGTGCTTTCAGGGTTTCCTGCGGTGTAGAAGCCCGGAGTTTGGGGTGTGGATTTAGAGGCTTTTCATGCCCTGCCGCAAGACTACACAGACTAAAAACATCTTAGCCTAGATGATACTATAGTAGTTTCCATTTCATTTTCCATTATCCCTATATAGCCCAATATTACCCCAATATTACCCCAATGTTACCATTAGAATATAATATGACTCAAAGGCTTGGCGCCTGAGAGTTTGAGGGTTGACGCCGGGTCCTCTCGTAGTACTTCTCGCAATCTCATATGACCTACAGTCTAAACTCCTTAAATGGGGTTATATAGGGGATGACATAGGGGACCACAATAGGGCTTATTAAGGGGGATGCTACGGTTTAGACTATGGCTCATGTTTGGCTACTGATCAAAACCACGTGCCCAGAGTGCAGGCTCCTATGCTGTCTGATCCGGAGGGTCTGGATCGCATACTTGATCCGGAGGGTGTGGAACGATGACTGA